CATACTTGATCAGAGTTTTCCAAGCAGTGACAGCACTGATTATTGTATTGATAATAAATAGCTACAGTTGCCCTTCCATTGGCTGACTGTGCTGGCATAACCCTGTTATATGGGGGCGGGGAGGAGGAGGAGGACCTGACTTTCTTTGCACACAATTTAACCGAGTGGCCCTTACTTAAAAAATCTGTTTCTGAAGTTTTTTTTTTTTCTTAACTCAGTGCAGCACCGTGCAAACCTGCACTTAGGAAGGTGGCTGTGCTGCCCAGGAACGCGATGCAAACGACTCACTTCGTGTGGGGTGAGGCTTGGGGCAGTCAGAAAGAACAGAAAAGTCAGACAGAAAGAGCTGCAAGCGCCTTGCACCAGATGCCTTGGGCACTTTGGGTTGGGACACCACGCTTGTCCTGTCGGTGCTGTGCTGGTCTCCCCACAGCTGTTGTATCTCTGGGTTTGAAATGCTGCTCTCTCTCCACGTGGACTCCACAGCAGCTGAGAAGTGTCTTATGCTCAGGGATTTGCTAGGCACTCGTTCTTACAGAAGGAATCACTATCCCTCCTCAATATCATGTTTGTTGGGGACAGTCTGGGCCACTGCACCTACACAGGGAAGAAAGTTTAATTTTGCTCTAAGTGACTATGCAACTGTGTTTTAAGAGGCTGAAAATACTACTTAAAATTGTTTTGGTAAGCAGTCTTCTTAAGATAGCTTAACGTAATCATGGCATGGCAATTAATTCCTTTCCACTGGGTTTGGTGCATTTTAGCAGTCTCTGAGGAAAAAGGATCTGTGCAATTGCAGATAGACATAAACAGATAGAGGTGGGTGGATCTAGTCAATAAAAGTATTGGGACTTGGACACAGAGCAATAGGTCCAAATATCATCCTGATGTTGTCCAGCTCCAGAAAATGAGTTTGGAAACAAACTTCCAAATTTTTTTTTAGACTTGTGATGCTGCATGGGCATTCACTGCACCATCTTGTGTATGTTCACATTAAGAAAAATAGTTTGCATTTAATACAGACCTTGAAAATTGCCCAAAAGAGACTAATTTCCTAGCTCTGTTCACCATGCAACCCTGTTGCCCTGGGCTGCTCCTATCACCTGTTATGCCAGGTCCTGATTATGCCAGCTGGAAACCAAACATCTGTCGCAGCTTACAGAAGGAGTAATTGACTTGGAACCTACTACCTAAAACAGTGACAAATAAACAAGCCTTGCTGTGCTGGGCTCTGGTTTTGTGGCTGTTGCCAACAGCTCCCTCTTGAAATAATGCCATGGGGAGTTGGCCTGAGTACAGTGCTAGGCCATCCATCAAAGTTTATCCTTCTCCCCCACTTATTCTCATTTCTTTTCACTCGCCCACCATTAGTATCTGCCTTTCCCACAGTTCTCCACCCTTTCAAACCCCGTGCTGCTTGCTGAAATGTGATTGTTTATTCCTTATGTTCATCACTGGGAATGTTTTTCCTCCTTCATGAACAGGAAAAAAAAAACACTGCACGGTGCACCCATATCAGTGCATTATCTCTGCTCCTTAATGCACACACCATACAAGAGATGACTGTTGCTGCTCCAGGATGTGAAACTGTGACAAGTGGAAAAAGCTGTGGAGTGCCAAAATGCACATTAGCATTAACCACCTGGACAGAGTACCCTTCTCCAAGGAGTATGGTTCCTTGAATGTTTTATTGGTTCTGTAAAGATGACTTCCTAAGGAAAGCCATTTCAGAATAGCCATTTCCCTACTTCAAAATAAGCATTTCCCCAGAATTGCCACATTTCAAGAAAGCTGAGGGCTTCAAAATCAATTTCAAGGAGTAATCATTTTCTTTCCTCAAAGTGCTGTTTTAAGAACCGGCCTTGCACAACCACGGACAACCTCAGGCATTTGATGAGGGATGGTGGTGCAAAAGATTAACCCAAGCTCCTCTGCGGTGCATGAGGGCTCCTCTCACCACTGCTCTGCCAACAGGAGTCATTCACCTGAGCTTCCCACCAGAAAATGCACAAACGTAATGTGTGCTTGTTTCAAATCAATTATAACCTTCAAAAGCTGATGTAATGCCATAAAAACCTCACATAAATGCCTAAATACCTACAAATGAATGTACCTTTCGCATGACAGCTCAGTCCTTATACCAGTCTGCTGCATATTTAAGTAAGCAAGCTTGGTGTTCAGCAAATTATTGCCAACTCTGCCAGCACGCTGAGTTTTCTGGGCTTAATGAGAGACCTACTTGAAGAATGAACTCATCATTTCTACTGGTTTGTGTGAAGGCAGAAAATTATGTCTTGTGTAGTGGTGATAGATGGAATTACCACTGATGGCAGAAATGAATCATGCTGCCCGAGGTTGGCTGACTCTTGAGGGTGATGGGGTTGACTTTCTGGCAACATGTTCAACGTGCTCTGTGCCCCCAAACCAAACAGAGTAACCTGGACAAAGCTGGTGAGCCCAGCAAGTTGGAAAAAGAGATTCCAAAAAGCAGAAGCACTCCTTCCAGCGGACATATTCACAGCCACAGGGGCAGCTAAACTTTGTCACTAGGCCAAATGTTCTGTGGATTGGCGAGGGTTTTTTTGCCTCTGCCTCTTATTTATTTATTTATTTTAAGTTGAGAAAGCTTGATGCTTTTCCACAGCTAGGCTAAGCTATCAGTATTCCCCATAACAGATCATTTCTGATCCTATGACACTCACTCCCATGCTTACTCTGGACAAGCATTAAGGAACTGATTCAGGTTAAAACTAACCAATTTGGCCATAAACCCCCAACATTCACTGTAGGTTAGTACCCAATACAGACACACCTTTATAGACAGTCTTTAGTTTCTATAACCTGAACAACTAAAGAAAAGATCCCTCCAGATGATTGATATCTCATGGCTTTATCTCCCTTTAAAAATCTACTTCCCATTTAGCAGGCTTTTTCCCTCAACTGGCAATTTAATGAACTTGGCATGAGCTGAAGAATTCATTATCAGTCTTTAAAACAATTTAGCATGAAATTTCATGCAGTAAATTACTGCTTAAGGAAATGCCTGTGAGAGTGTCAAACAGAAAAATTAATTGAGCCAAATGCAGAGCAGACAATATTGTGCCTTTCAGGTATTTTTAATGCAGATGAGCCTATTATGGTGACAATGAAGTCTTCTAGTGATCACCACAGTAATCTGCACCACAACCAAGAAAGTAACACACACATGAATTCCAGTCAGAAGGAAAAATTTCTGATGTATTTTTTAAGAAACTTTTCCTTCCTTGGGATACATGCTAAACCAATGCAACAATACTGCTGATAAAAATTATGGTTTAATCCACTTGGCAACAAAATGGTCAAGTGACATGAAAAAGACTCAACCCTAGAAATTATTTACTGACATTTATACCCTACTCTTCAGGCCATTTTCAACACTAATTTGTCTGTAAGATGGAAGTGTTTTTCTAATGCAAATGTACTTTGTGTAAAAGAAAAAAAGATAGGCCAGCAACTGAAAGAAAACATTTATTGAATCAAAGTCAATACTTTCCTTTTAATATCTACAAGCCAACACTGAACTGACTTTATTCAAGAATGAACACAATGTACAAAAAAAGTATGTCTGTTATAAAAATATGTCAATTCTTCTTCCTGGCTTTCGAGCTGAAAACATTTTGGCAAGTGCAAGATAAGGTTTGGCAAGCAAATTTAAGCTGCTATTACCAGTAACAAAGATCAAATAATTTTGTAATAATTTTGTAGTATAATTAAGAGTCATTGATAAAGTGGAATTGGAAATATTAACCACTAAAAAAGAAAAATATATCACTGCACTGCCATGTGTTTATGCAGCCAGACAACTGAACATCTCGATCTTCTGTCATCGGGAATCAGTACCTTTACCAATGAATACTATTCAACCTAATTTGAACTATTCAACCAGAAAAGTGACACCTATCACTGAAATACAACTTAGAGAAGGCAAACTATCCCCATGGCCCTGTATTTTGCTTGCTGTTTACGAACAGAGAGAGAAGACAAGGTGGGTTCGTAAGTGATTAAATCAACCAGACAGCTGTTGCAATGTGAAATCAGGGAAAGGATGGAAATAGAATAAAGAATAATTTATGACACCAATCTACATGCATGTTTGTGTATAAAAATGGATCTGATTAAGCTCAGTTGTGCCTTATTTGATGGGATGTTTTCATTTTTTTTTTTTTTTCACATAAAGATTTCATGTAACCAGGACTCAAATCTTTGATGCCTCTCAAACCACCAACGAGGAGCGAAAAAAGGGACCATTTACAGAAATAATCTGAAAACAGTGCAGTATTAAAATGCAGTTTCACAACATATAAAAGAAACATGCTTCGGAACCTGAGCAAAAGGCAATTTACTGACTTAATAAAAAGTCACCCTGTGTGTTGTTTTCATTGGCACCTGTTCTGCCAGATTAGTATGTTGCTCTTAGCAACTTCCATGGCCCCTAAATATTCAGTACACAGAAACTGCCAACTACTTAGAAAGGTCTACTAAACTTTTCAGCTAATATTGCAGGCTGTCTGACATGCTGCTACTGGAAATGACCGTACAGTTAAAAATAAGGAAAAACTGTAGAAAGAAAAAGAAGCAGCCAAACATGTTGCTCTTCTTTTTTAAATAGACTAAAGCAATTCCACAACACTTAGATACGGTACTACACTGGTTTACAGTCTCAAGGTCAGCTCTTTCAAAATAAATATACTGAACATTTACAACAAATGCCTCATGAATGCAAGTTCTCTCTTTATTATTTCAAGGCCAGTTGTGTGAAAACTAAAACAAAGACATAACTCTGAAGCAGCTAAGTTACAAGTCCTTTTTCAGAAACAGGCATGACTTGGTGCCACAGCAAAATGTTTCCCACCTGCAGCAAGCTATTTTTTTTCTTTTTTTTTTTTGTCTTTTTTTTTTTTTTTTTTTTTTTTTTTTTTTTTTTTTTTTTTTTTTTTTTTTTTTTTTTTTTTTTTTTTGTCTTTTAGCACCAAGCAGGCCACCATACAAAGCAACCTCACAAAGCATGCGGTCATCTACTCTGTTGATTTTTGTATGAAATAATTACTTGTGCTTGCAGGTCCCAGACCTTTCAAAAATGGGTATGAACGTTAGGTATTGAAGACATTAATGGAAAACTCATTCATTTCTAAATTACTTGAGTGGAGAAAAAGATTAAAATACTATAAAGCAACACAATGTTGTGCATTAGTATTTGTGAGCAATGAGGAAAGCTAAGGTTGGTGCTTTAATTTTGCCTTAAAACAAACAAAAAAAAAGTGAAAACCAATCCTAAACAGCTCTACGTCCATGATACTGGTAGAGGCCAATGCGTGCATGCCACTGAAAGGCACAGTTGGACCAATCTGATAAATGGCATCATCAGAGCAAAACAGCAACTTTTCACTGGACTAATCACAAAGGGTGAACAATGAGCCATCACTTCTCTTGTCATGAGCACAGAAAGCAGTCACCAAGGCAAAAGAGAGGACACAGGAAAGAAGACACAGGAATTCACATAAACCTGAAAAGACAAAACACATTATTAAAACGAGTTTTGAGCATTCTGAGTGACCATTTTCCAACTGTAACACTGCTATTCATTGATTTAACACATTTTATGGCAGCATTGCAAAAATGGTACCCTAATTATACAATAAAATTCTTCTGAGATGATTTGTTTTACAACTAACTTCATTTGCAAAGATTAGTCTACAGTATCACCTTTGGTTAAAACAGGCTTAAGGACAGACTGATACAGCCAGAACAATATCTACTTCATTGTGTGAAGAAATTAGCCTGTTTATACAATATCTAATGTTTTTACTCAGAAATGGATTTTAAAATTGGTCATCACAGAGACACAGCTTTTTATAGGGAGCTAATTATGAAGTAGTGTGACTGTTCTTCCTACTATTCTACCAGTGCCTATAAAATAGCGTGCAATACTTACTGGAAAATTATCCCCAAGGTTATCCTGCCTTCGTATCTACAAGCTGCATCTGAACATTTGCAGACATGCCACCTCCATAGCCTCCCTTGGATTGCATTTGGTTCTGAATCGAGCTGACCTGGAGACAGAATGGGAAAGGGGAGCAGAGGAGAGAAGAAGGACAGTGAGCTGTGGCATCTTCTTGCTCCCAACTTTGTTTCTTCCTGTAGGTTTTGTTTCCAAGCGCTCCTTTAACAGTGCAGCTACGTTACTTATGCGTGAAGACACGCGCAGCAAAGGCTTGCTGGAATTTTAATTTCTGCACGTAGCTCAGCAGGAGGGGTGGAAGAACTGGTGCCGAGGCAGAAGTTTTTCCTCTCTCCCAAAGAAAAGTGGCTGATTCAGGCTTTCACTGACCCACTTGATGAATCAAAAAATTAATATAAAAAAAATTCAAATCTCTTACTGGCTTTGACTCCACCTGACAAACTGTAATTCATCTTCTCATATGAAAAATGTTCTTTGGTAAGTATGAAAAACCGGAGGAGTTAACAGCATTATGTTAAAAATATAATAGACAACTTACAAATATCTGGATAGTATCTGCACTGTACAGCTATTCTCAGATTATTGAAATAGGGGTAAAACAGGACTTTCTAAATCAAAAAAGACCTTTTTGTTTGCAGAATGCTTTTGATTTATCTATTTATGTAACAGCTTACAATGCTTTCATTGATTGCTACTGTTGCTTTAAATGGAAGGGCATTTATTATTTAAATCACAGTCAATCTGAACTTCCCTGAAAATAGCTTATTTGAGAGTATTTTTGTCTGGTGCAAATAAATACATAAAGACATGCCCTTCATGACCCCCTTGCCCCAGGACAGGCACATCCCACTACGACTTGCACTGCCTCTATCAACTTAAAAAAAACAGAGGGAATGCACAGTTCTTTCCTGCTTGTGTTGCATGAGAGACAAAGTAATCACATCCAAATGCCTGCAGGAAGACAACCAGAACCTCAAAGGTTTGGTCCTTTTCTCTCTGCACCCCAGAGCATACATAACAACTACACAAAGAGCAGAAAACAGCATTCATGCAAGGCTATGCCTGCAGGGCACCACTTGCAATTATTTCATGTATACTCCTTAGCAGAGAGACCTAAAACCATCACTGGAAAGCTGCATTAAAACAGCACAGGAGAAATATTTCCAAGTGGCTTGCACAATATTTTCCCTGCCTACAAAGACAAAAGAAGTAGATTTTGTTGTTGTTGTGTTTTTTTTTTTTTCCCCCCAACAGCACAGCAAAACACATGCTCACATAAAATGAATCAGCAGAACTCTCTTCCACACAGTTTTTCAGACCTGTGTGGTGGAAGAGCCTGGTGTTTTTTGATCTTTATCTTCAACAGCATGGCACATTGCAACGCTACATAAAAGGTTGTGTTTTACGTATTTAAGCAACGTAAAACCATTTTCTGACTTGGCCTTTTGCTAAAATAAGCGATACATCTGCAGCAAGGCAATATTACCATCTCGTTTTTCCTCAGGGGAATGCAGTCAGAGCCAATGTTCTAGTGCATCTGACATCAGAGACCACAGATCCAGCAAGGAAGTGCGGAGAAGTGCAACCACGCTCATGGGGATGGGTTTAATAACTTTCACATTCCACTAAACTGCTCCTCTTCTTCACCAAGCATCTTCTGTTGCCCATTGAAACAGAGGAGCTTGACTTAAATAGTTTTTTTCCTCAAAAAATAGTTAATTCACATGCAAATGTATTCAAAGGAGTGACTTAAGGATGTTACAATTTCATCACAATGAACCCTGCCTCCAGTGAAAAAAGAACTAGAAAAGCCTCCAGGCCACATCACCTTTCAGCCTGACAGCCTGCCTACGGGGCTTTAAAATTTCTGAGAGCAGCAAATCAACACAAATTGCAAGGCTAAAGTGTAAATTTTTATGAGTACTTCTTCCAAAGGTTAGAAAAATTTCCCTGGCTCCTGAGTCACACACAGAGAAATGTTTGTGTTAGTGGGTAAGGAAGTATCACTTTAAAACGCAAAGACTGTTGCACTTACAGCAGATAATCAAGAAATTAAATTTGACTGCCTTAACAGTTCTGTGGCTATTTTGTATATGAAAACCTTTCTAGGAGACGTACAATGTTAAAAGTTCTGAACAAAAAGCAGGTCTAACTGCAGTGGCAGGCATATAGGGTGGTATAATTTCTCAAGCACCCTCGTATTGAGGCAATTTGAGCTACAAGCACCTGGAGATCCAATTATTTCTTTTTTTTCTTTCCCAAAGATGTCATTGCCTTTCTTTGATGATATATAACAGCAAGTTTCTTCTCTCTTATGTTTAATTTAGATAGGGTAAGGATTTTGGAAGGAAAAGAGGATTGCACCAATTAAAGATCATACAAACTGTTGTGCTGCTCATCTGTCTCATTAATTTCCTTCTTTCCTTTTCTTTCCCACCCTTTTAGAATTAGGAAATAGCACAGATGGACCTTGAGAAAGAAAACAATTGAAAACTACATGAAATACATTAAGTCAAAGACTAGATTGAAGAACATGAAGCAGAAGAAGAAAGTAGGAGATTTCACCATGGAATATGAATGTAAAATAGGGAAGAAAGGGATGGGAATGAAAAAGAACCAGTGCACAGAGGGCTCCTGCTGTTTAAGTGTACCTTTGATAAAGGAACAAAGCACTCTACAGAGAAAGCAAACAAAACAGCCAAATAATTCAGTAGTCAGAAATCTACTCCCTCAAAATCATAAGGATATGTAACGAATAATAACACTGATGAGAAAAGCCACAGAGCAGATAGAAACTGGATGAAGAAGCAAATTTATATGGGAAATCCTGATTAAATTGCAGGTATTTTCCTAGGGTATTTAGAAGAGAGAAAGTACAAGGAGGTTCCTGAAGAAGCATAATGTCCACACTACAAATGAAAATTATGCAGCAGAAAAACATGTGGAGGTTAACATTGCTGTCTTGGAAACTACACTGCAAAGAATGAACATGGAGACCACAACACCACAGGCAGAAAATAGCGTGAAAAAGCAGAGATTTGAGTTTCTGGAGTGAGAGACGGTGGAAAATGCTAATTTCATCATTCAGATGCTTTCTATCTGGGATCGGAAAAACCCCTCTCTTCACTGATGCAGCACATTATCCAAACGGAATATGAGAGAAAAAGTTAGCTATGAGCGCTCAAAATGAAAAAGTCTATGCAGAGAGACAACAATAATTACCTAATATGTGGAGATAAATTGAATATTACAGAAGGCAAAGTTGAGGGCAAGCAGGGGGAAAGTGTGAGGCGAAAAAACAAAGCTTCAGGCAAGTGCCACAAACCCCACAAGGCAGCTCAGCTGTGAGAATGAAGAAGGTTCCCACAGGAAAGACAACAAATATTTCAAAAGCAAAAACCACACTTAAATAAAAAAAAACAAACAAAAATAAAACTCAGTTTTATTATCACTTTATTATTTCAATTTGTAATGCTTTAAATCTTAATGTAGTACACTGCAATAAATAAGTAATTAGCTGTACCTAAATTCTATCAAGTTGAAGCTGTTTGGCATTTGACTTGCTCACAGATGTTTTAGTACAAATCACTTTCAGTCCACTATGTTGGTTTTGGAAATATGTAATGTATATTGTTTGTTTTGTCAAATTTTCTAGCTTTGCCCTTCCCCATTACATGCTGAGTTGCTAAAGTTTTTGTCCAGTCTCTATAAGACCAACTTAAACTGGTTGAAACCACAAATGACCTCATTCTTTTCTTTATAGCTCTTGCTCTCTGTTCTGATACTTCTGAGTATCAAAGGAGATACTTTTTCATCTCCTTTGTCAACAAGTATTTTTCATCTCCAAACCCGTTTTCCTTTAAAAAGTATTATTAAAGTCAAGAAGTATTTGTCACCATTATCTACATACAACCCTTTTCCTTATATATTTGACCTTAGAAACAGATTGACATTGCACAGAAATTTGAAGCTGTACAAGATAACTCTATTTCCATAATCATTATCTATCTTGGCCTCCGTTTTTCACTTTCAGAGAGGTAAAAAATATTTCTTGCTCCTGCCATCTGCAGGAAGCCACAAAACCTCACCTGTGACATTGCTTACTCTGGAAATAATTCACACTGCAAAGAGGGCTACAGAACACAGAAAAACCTCAACAAGGACACACACAAAAGAAATGTGTGTGCACTATAAACCAATGTAAGCTAGAATTCTATGTTCATGTAAACTAAATGCTTAAAGCATTTAAGGTAATAAATCCAGTCATTTATAAGACAAAAAGTTTCCCGCATAATTCTCTAACACAATTTCAAATATGCCTCTATTTTGGTTCACGCATGACATCAGAATAAATTTTTAATTTAGAAAGTATTCTGCACAATTTATACAGCATCTAAAACTGCCAATAAATACAGGAATTTAAAAAATTATGTTCCATATTCTTGAATGCAACTGTTTAGGACTTGGAATTAAAATGCTAGCAGGTTGTTTTATACACATTATGGTTGAAAGAGTCATTGCTTCAGCCCACAATATACATATACAGTGCTCCTATGTTCTGTTTAATATCAAATTATGTTCGTCTACTCATACGTACCGAATTCATCCCGCTGAATAGATCCCCTGATCCTACATGAGCTGTGTGGACGAAGTTTGTTGGCTCCCCAATCATGCTCCGATCAATCCGCCGTCGTCTTTTCTGAAAGGAGGGGAAAGAAAATATCTGAGAGTCACTGCAAAGGCAAAATCAATGTGTGTCATAAATGCAGAAGTTAACCCTCTATAGGATATTTTTCCATAGGAAATTCTGATGTTAACCAATTTACACTGCTGTAACACTGTCCTTTGTTTTTACTCGGAGGATGTAAAGCAGGTGTTAGACAAGCACTGATAGCACTCTGAACATTTAGGCCAACAAAACACTTGCAAACAACCTTACTAAATTCTGCGGTTTACTAACCGATATTTGTAATCTTTCATACAATAACTTCTGCCTACATCTGCATTTAAGTCATGGCAGGACAGACCGAGTTTGAGGTTGAGTCATTCAAAACAAGAATCGAGGATCAAAGAGTATTGGAACAGCCCATGAAACCACTAACTTACAGAATTTCTGATCTGCGTGCCATGGGAACTTATACCACTATTTGTAACGTACTTTATAGTGATGCTCAGAACAGTTCCTTGATTTTGATAAGGGTTAGTCACATATCTTTACTGAACTCTGAAACCCCATCTACTCAAGATAACTTCCAGCCTGTGACTGCTACCCAAGATACACTTCCAGTGTAGCCTGAAGGGGTGCACTGGGGTAGTAGGGCAAAATGTCAGATTAGGGACACTTCAGACTCCTGTACTGCGAGACAGAAGGCAAGAATTGCCTAATCTCTGCTTCTGATTTCTCAGAGTCACAGTTTTGTTTTTTATGAATGTAAACACACACATATAAAAAAATAGAAGCAGTAAAGACTTCCTCTAATTAAGCCTGCTTTGGTTACCTGTCTACAGCTAAGCATTGCCTCTAAAGGAACAAACCAAGAAAACCCTATCCTCCTTTCCAAGGCCAGAGCCAGGGAGCCTACACAGAGCAATCCATGCAGCATGTAGACACCACATGACCATTACCTGAAAAATGCACGTGCTTGGAAAAAAATAAAATATCCATGGAGCACAGTATCAATATTTCAGTTTTACGTGTGTTGAACAAAACAGAATTTAATATCTAAGAAATTACTTGAGTTCAGGTAAAACCTTCCCATCATCATCTTAAAGTCCACTCAGCCTCATGTTTACAGGTCTCCATTTCTAATCTGCAATGACTCTGTGAGACCACACAGACTCAAGACTCGAAGGTACATGTCTCACCAGTGGGCTAGCTGCTATTGAAACACAGCTGCAGATTAAATCTCTATGAATCAGGGCCCACAGCTATGAGAATACATCATGGGGTTTATCCAGCACGTACAAAACACATTTAATCCTGTCCTGCACCTTTTCTCTATTACAAAACCAGATTTCAGTAGTTTTCAGTACCTTATTGAATCATATGTATATAGTTGGGATGAGGAGGAACACATAAAATTCTCCCACAGAAATAGTTAACTGCAGTGATTGATCTATGCCAAAACTATTAGCAAACTCTCTAATTCCACTAAATTTGACAAGATCAATCAAATAAAATATTCCAGCTGTAAAAACACTTTCATGCAGTTTGAAGGCTTTCAGAGAAAAAAAAAATCAGTTTAGAGTCACAGTTACAGAAGACACTAGAAGAGTTCATAGAGCCATAAATAGTCACAACAGGATCTATTACCATGTCTCACCAATAAGCCATTATTTCAACCTGGAACTCCAGCTCCCTTGTACACACAGCACAGGATTTCATAGGTTATGCATGACAGCAGCTAGTAAAGCATATATGACTAAATTGGGGGGGATAGACCCCACACCAGCTTTGTGCTTCGTGCTTCCACTGCTCACCTGACACATTCAGGAGCATCTCTACCAGCTATTTGAAGCTCACAGTGCAGAAATTACACAATCTAACGCTGTCATATGCTGTGACACTGACACAGAAAGAAGATCTAGAGAGCTGAAACAAACTGCTCCAACAGAAACACTTTAAAATAGTTTCAGGTCTGTAGTACCCGCCCCTTTCCTCTTCAAAAAATAACAGCCAAATTTATATATCTAAACAATACATCCACAATTTCTTAATTTTGGTCAACTCTTGAAATGCAGCGTTTTGATGCAGAGAAAATGCAGACAAACCCATGGATTTTTAATTTCTTTTTCTTGTTTTTATGTTTTGCAAACAATCAAACTCTTTCTTATTATCAGACTTAAATCAAACTTAACTTATTTTTCTCCTTGTTGTTAAGGTCACTGGCATGCCAGTAACAGACTGATCATGCTGGATCTTGTGAATCACTGTAAATGATTCTCCACTAATCACCAGGTAGTCAACCAGTAACCACTAGTTAAACTGCACTGTCATAAAATCATGTTTCTTATCTTAAGTGAGTTCCTTATCAGAGGCCATCAGCCTGTTACACCCCGGCATGCGCCCACTGATGTGAGTTCCAGGAAGCAATGGAACTGTATTTAAGTGCTCTGTTGTATCAAGACCATAAAGCAGCTAATTCTGAAAGCAAATAAAAAATAGTGTGTGTGTGGGAGGGAGTTTGTTTGATTTTTTTTTTTTCCTTTTTGAGCACCCAGGTTGTGCTTACATTACTGTTTTAGTTTGGATCATGAGAATGCTTTTGAAACAACTTTACCAGTCCCCACTTAGCATGATTCAATTTTAACTTCAGACTAATCTTGGAGTGAACAAATTAGGCTTTTTTTTTTTTTTTTTTTGGATGAAGTTGAACTAGAAGATTAACTGATGCCCTCCCATTGCTAACAGACATTGAGCCCAATGAACCAGGTGAGCCAGTCTGGAGATGACAAAAGACATCTAATGCATGTCATGGTTCCCCAACACCAGCTGCTCTGCTCTCCTACTAGGGTGTGCCATTTCTACAGACACAGTCTCAGCCAAAACCAAACTGAGCAATTAGGAAGCATAAAGGGACATGGGGAACACTATAAAAAGTCATCCCTTTGTGAGGAATGTAACACAGCAGAAAGTAGTACAGAAACATGCCCAGAAATGCTACAGAGCTTTTACACCATAAACATTAGCTTTGCCAGGATTTTTTTGTGAAGTTGTATTTTCTGAGTTCTTGTACCTGTAAGAATACATTGCAACACCACTGCTCTAACACACAATGATGGATTCTTTAGTAAATTTAATTTGAAAGAAGCTGAGAAGCAGTTCACCTCTTACTTAGGAAGAAATGAAATGCACAGTTATGCTCATTGCCCTAGTGTATCATTTGTGTCTCTCTATGCTTGCTCCTAGTGCAAGTCAGGAACCTGCCTGTGTGACTGACATGTTGTGGTGGAGGGGAAGACTTATAAAATAAAATACTGACAGAGCCTAGCAAAATTTAATCCCAATAACCTTCACCCATACTCCAAGCTCCACTTGGTATCATAGCATAAACAGTATGATTGTTATAAATAGGATGATAATATAAATATATTCTGTGTCTTAGAATATATTTACACACCACTAACTCATTAATGAGTAGTAATGAGATCTCACCATAAAGGTAATCTATAAAACAAATGAATGTTTGTGATGCTAGTGCAAAGAACTTTAACACATACACACACACCTGTCTCAAGGCATTTACCTCTTTACTAAGGGGGCAAGGAGCACAACAAAGATGAGATGAAAAGACCGGTAAGAGGATCCTGGAAGTGATATGAATACATGAATGGTTGAATAATCATATTGTAATTTGAATAATTCATATCAATAATATTGAATATAAATATATTAACTATTATCATTTAATGACTTTACTCAGTTTGTTCCCTTGACAAAGAACTGCAGAATCTGGATTGCAAAGCACATACCAGGTAACATTCACACCATGAGAAGCAGAACTAATCTTTAAACAGAAGAGATGCAGGTTTGTGTGTTAAATGTCTGAGAGGAACAGAAGCAATCTGAGGACCCATCCAAGGAGCTTTGCTTTGAACATATACCAAATGCAGTGAAACAGGATGACATTTAGGTTACCACAGAAATGAAGTAAAAATTGATATTTTCTATTCTTAACCTGCAAGCGATGCTTTGCACCCACTACTTCCTTCAAGGTACCAGATCAGAATTCAGACAGCCACCAACAGATCCATCACAGAATTTATTTTAACCCTGCAAGTGTCTTGAAACTATAAACCATTTTAAACTCTTGTCGAAAAAGTAAATCTAATGATACCATGTATTGATCCTGCCCTTCAGCAAAGCCACAAATATCTTACTGAAACACCACTTTTCATAGTTCAAAGGAGTACTTCTGGCAAAAAATTCAGAACTGTAATTTGTTCCTTTGAACAAAAAATTGTTACTGGTGGGTCCAGATAGGTATGTAAAATTTAATTTTTGTTCCCCTCTATTTTTGGCTTTCAGGGAAGAAGTGGTCTTTTTTCACTGTCTCCAAATTTTGTCCAGAGGTTGGGCTGTGCTTCTTTAGCTCAAGCCACTTCATAAGGGATGGCAACAGTTCTGAATTACACAAGTTCTCAGCCTGTATATATATACACATGAAAAACACAAGTTTTGGAAATTTTTCCCCTTTCCAGTTATGCATCTCTCTCTGCTCTTCAAGAGAGGTTCTCTTATAAAAAGAAGAAAAAAGACAAGACATGAAGAGTAAAATCACAATCTCAAACATATCAAAAAACTATTTAAGTGATGACACTTGGACCCTAAGAGGCTGATAATTACTTTTCTGGAAGATGCTAAAACTTGAAGTTGCAAGTTCCTCCAAACAGAATATCGTACAAAGGTACTCCAAAGCCAACCTACACACACTGGGAACCAAAAGCAAGGACATCTGTTTAGCTGGCAGAAGAGCATGTTCTGCTAAATCTACACCGGATTTTTTATAAAATAGCTGATGGAAAAGTGTTACAGCTCCAAGTGTGACATACAGCGCTGCAAAGGACCCTGCAACACAAAAGCTTTGCGTGGATTTCACCTGCAGAAGGCTCCATCTCAGCCCCAGTCTGCCCTCAAATGAAAGTGGGTATTGCAAGTGCAGACAAAGACCATGCACTCCAAGCATAAAGCAACACATG